CATTACCTGTAGGGCAGGGCAAATATCTTATTACTGAACATCTGCTCTTCTTAATGTCCTGCAAATGACCTTCCTCTCCTCTAAAGCCCCAAGGCACCTTCCCCTGAGCGCAGAATGCTGCGCATACCTCATTTTCTCTTACTGTCGCTGAACCCATGCATGTGGTGTCTCTGACCCTCTCCTGTATGCAGGGTTCCCATCCTTCCGTATGTAGTTAAATTTGATTATTTTCTCTTGCTAATCTAATCTGTCTCTCATAGATTTAATTATTAGACCAGCCAGAAGAACCCAGAAGGGTAGAGGAAAATTTCTTCTTCTCCTGCAGCACACAAAGGCTGCACTCCCTACTTAACAGCAACATATTGGGGCAGGCTGTGTTCCGATGCCCACCTTTTACTGTGTTCCCAGAAGCTTTCTCCTTTCCTCTCTTGACAGATCTGAGATTTTTTTCCCCCCTAAGGAAGAGGAGCTCTCCTTATTGTGAACTTGGATTTCTAGCCTGGTACCCGGGGCTGAAGGACAGTCCTGAAGCTCTCACTGCTTGTTTTATCCTGGGGTCCACATCCTTGTATCTCCGCCTGCCCAGAGCCGGCTGTGTGGAGAAGGTGGGCTCCTGACAGTCCCTGTCATGCTGGGTACCACTCACCTTTCACATTCGTACGGTGTTTCCTTTTACTGCAAATCATGGGTGAATTTTCTTTGCTCATCGTGATATCTTGTGTCCTGAAATATCCCATCTGAGGCTCAGAGCCCTTGCTGATTTCCCTAGGATACCAGGGCCGATTTATAGGCAAGTGCCTTTATAGGGAATCTTACCCCAGACCAGCTCTGTCATTCACGTTGCCACGATCCTTGCGCCAGTAACAGTTCTCTTGTTAAAAAAAGCAAACGCAAATTAAAAAACAATTCAGCCAAACCCACAGCCTAGGCATGTGCCCTGACAGGGAACCAAACTTGCCCCTCTTCAGTTATGGGATGGTGCTCCCACTAACTGAGCCCCACCAGCCAGGGCTCCTAGAGGGTATCAGTTTTATTAATTTTCTATATATTGTTTCAGTGGATTTTTTAAATAAAAGACCCTCAGAAAGTGAACACACACCTACATATATATGCTCCTCTACCTTTCCTAAAGGTGTCTTTGGTTAAACTGAAGTTTTTAATTGATATGTAGTAAAATTTATACACCTCTTCTTTAGTAGTTTCTGGATATATAATTATAACATATAATGATATATTATTATATAACCTATGTGTTTCTAAATGTTTATATTTTTGGCTGTAATGTTTAGCCCTTACTCTACTTGGAATTTATTTTTATGTAAGGTGTAAGCTAGACATTTGATTTTCTTAGGTTAAAAAAAGTGTCGTTGGTGGAAATCAGGCTCTTCCATGGGATTGCAAGGGGACCATTCCAAGGACGCACACGTGGGAGAGTGTGCTGTGGCAAGGTGGTTTATGTGGGTGGAAATCTGCCCCTGGATTTCCAGGTTCCCGTCTCCCTCTGTCCCGCTGTGGGAAAAGTCCAACCTTGTCCTCAGCAAGGCCAAAACAAAGGCCAAGGTCCAGAGTTTCTGTTTCATATTAAAGCTTGTCCTTTGGAGCCCCTGCTGTCTGCAGTGGGACCCAGTAGCTGCTAGATCCACAAGGACGTGTGCTCCTGGGTGAGAGAATGTGCAAAGGCATGGGGCTAGTGCGTGCCTTGCGTGCGAGAGAGGGAGAGAGAGAGCGTTCGTTCGCGAGCACAAGCACGCTTCTTTGTTCCCCTGGGGATATAACCAGCAGCTTTTTCGAAATGACCTATCAACTTCCCAAGCTTTTGCAGGCTTTTTGATGGGTCTACGCCCTAGGTAGAATGACACGTCTCTATGGTCAAGCACCCCCCACTGAGGTACTGGGGGGCGAACAGTGTTTCTGGGCAGATTTCCTGTGCTGTTAGCATTAAGTTTCCTTGGCAGCAATCCCCCGGTGTGTGTGAATGAGTCTGTAAATGCTATAGCTTCCTGCTAGGCAAGCAGGCTTAGGCCGCCAGTTTATTTAACTCAATGTCTAATTCTCTTTGCTCCCTTTATTTAATAATTAGCTAACTATCTACGGTAACAAAAGTATTCTATTGTCTGGCTACCAAAAGGACAGCTGGAAGTTTTTTCTCCCATGGGAGGGTTTCTAATGTGAAACTGACCTGCTGTTCTCAGGATAAAGGATAACTGGTCTTTGTTTAAGGAACAGCTGGATTGTCTGCTAGTGTGTTATTTATGATTTTTGCATCTGCTTTTATGCATGGAAATGACTCTAGATTTCTTTTTCTGTCATGCAGTGGCTTGCTTCTGGTATCCTTGAGGAATGAGTTAGGAAGATTAAAAAAAAACACCACAAACACTTTTGGGCACTTACTATGTATTGTAGGAATGACCTCCTCTTCAGCGTTTTACTAGAAGTGGCCAGTAAAATTGCCTGAGGCCGATGCTGTTGGAAGAGAAGATCTTTGTCCATTTTCTTCTTTGGTTAATAATCTTTTTCTTTTTTTCTGGATTTGATTTGTAGGCAGTATTTTTCTCCCAGGAAATTACCCTTTTCTCTTGGTCTTTTCCCTCTACACTCCCTCTTCTCTCGCCGTCCTTCCCGCTCCCTCCCTCACCTGCTTGATCAGATTGTCCCCTTTGCCTGGAGTGTTTCTTCTTAGAAAGAGAGATGAAAAGGGTTCATGGTATGCTTTGAAGAGCAGCATTCTTTTCTTTTCATCTTCCCTGATAGTCTTCATTTTTCTGTGCCGGGGTTAGGTTCTGTGATGCTACGGCAAATGTAGCGACTGTGTGCCTTATTTTTATATCCTAGGCATAACCACTCAAGTCCCAATTGATGGTGAGGACTGGGCCTGGGTGAGAACTGATTTATGGGCTTGGGACGTAGTAGTAGATGTCGTTGTTTGTCAGGAACACTGGCATCTCCCTGTGTGGCCTTCTCCTGTAAGTATATGCCACTACTGTATTGAACTCAAGAGTGACCATGTGACTTGATTTGCCTATGTGGGTGTAGTCAGAGTGTCCCTTCGGGAAGGCTTTTTAAGAGCACGTGTATGGTTCTTCATCTTTCATTTCTCTCTACCACTCCCACTGGTCATGTGCCATCTAGAGGCAGCACTGTTAGCCTTGGGCCTGGAGTGAAGACGGCTTTGGGCACAGTTACAGTTGACACAGGATGGACATGGAGCTGGAATGGGAAATAAACTTTCCTGACTTTAAGCCACTGAGAGTTTGTAGGGGGAAGTATTTGCTACTACAGAACAGCTTGGCCCATCCTAACTCATAGACCCCTTTCTCCGCTTCACTCTGAGGGTCCAGTCTTCTTCAGGCTGAACTTTGAAACCTGTGGACATCTGCTCATTCTGGGTTTTTTTTTTTTTTTTTTTCATTTAGGCATTTGTTTACTGGGCATTCTTTTAGGCAGTGGTGAAGAAACACGGTTGTGGAATGACAATTTTGGATTCGGGGTTTGGCTTTGACACTTGGTAGCTGTGTGATCTTAAGACAAGTAACGGACCTCTTATGCCTTAGTTTCCTCCTCTGTGAGATGGAAAGGAGAACAGTGCAAGCTTCTCTTGCTGCGCTGTGAAGATTCACCGAGCTCTGCACTTAGCCCAGTCCCTGTTTTATAAATGTTAGCTATAAATACTAGCATTAGTGGGAGGAAGAGGGCTGTACTTATCAGCTTAGCCTAAGTTGTACTGCAATACCACATGACTCCCAAATCCCGTGGCCACGAACAACCTAACCTTAAACCCAGTCTTATCGCTCCTCCTTTGTACGTTGGCTTTAGCTCAGCACCATGACCTTTTACGGTGGAATGCAGGCACTTCTTGGAAACACACTGCTCCCAGAAACTTGAGAGATGGTGGAACCACGCAGTGCTTAGAAGTGGCATATCATTTTCACTCACATTCCATTGCCTAAGGCAAGAACTGATGTCACGGCAGGAAGTACAGTCTTTTTACAGAGAAATAAATAATTGGGAACAAAGATAAAATCTATCACAAAAGACTATTTTATTCTAATCACCAGGAGTAGCAAAACTACTGAGGTGCATTTCTTCTTACAGGAAGCTTTCATTCTAGCAAAATTGCCAGATGGTGTGACTAAGGTGGGAAGCCCAGTTTGGACAGGAGAGTGAGTGACCATCTCTGCCTGTGGTGTTAGGGGAGGAATCAAAAGAGCTTCCTAGGGGAGCCCTAGCCAGTCTCAGAAGGGAACTTGGCCGCAGGAGGACTGCAGGCATTTGGGCAGAGGTCCTGGACAGGGTGCCTTGAGTTGCTTCTGAGGGTGGGGTAGCTCCCAACCCCACCTGCCTCCCCTGGGACCACGGGAGTGGAGGACTTTGATCCCATCAGGGGACACAAGGGTACATCACCGATAAGGCCCATGGCATGCAAGTGCAGAAAAGAAGGGGGGCGGTTATCTTTATAGGGTCACTGTGAGAGCTGGAGCTCTACCTGAGGTAAGAAGGACTTAGCTTAGACACCCCCCCCCCCGCCCCCCGCCAACTCCTCGGAATACAGGGACATAGGGGATGGAACACAGCTGGCGCCGCGGGCCAGGGGAGGCAGGAGCTGAGCTCCGAATGTCCCATTGGTCTGGAAGGAGACACCCTGAGACACTTTCTCCGCAGGAATCATGCTGCACCTTCTCTTTGACTCAGGCTCCAAGTGTCAGAGATTGATACAAGATAAGGAGTTTGTATCTGAGGGGCAGGGGTGGGAGGGAATTGTAAATTTTGTCACGTAAGGGAGAGTGGCAAGGGGCAGACTCGAGGGTCTGCAGGCTGGAAAGAAATGAGATGAAAAAAAAAATTCTAGGGGCCCCTGTGTGCTGAGACTCCATATTTATTGAGTGAGGAGGGTGTGAAAGGACAGGATCCTTGCTGAGGAGGTGTGGGCTTGGTGCCTCCAAGAAAGATCCTGGCAACATCAAATTGCTTCTCTATTCCACAGGTCCTGGCTTCATGGAAACATGGTGGGGTTTTTGCAAGTAAAGCTCAGAGGAACCCGGGCAGCAGAAATCAATCTTGCGATGAAATAACTTCTACCTGGCCTTCTGGCAGAATTTCAAGGCAAACACTGGGCTGACTCTGCGGCCTTGACGTTGCCTGATCCTTCTGTCCGGGGAAAGCAGGGCTAGGAGGAGATTTTGCCTTTGGAGAACAGGGAAAACATGCAGACCATGAAGAAACTGACTCAAAATCATAAGGCAAAAGGTGAGAGTTGTGGAGAGTCTGGAGAGGTGAAGAAGAGGGAGCAAGACTCCAGGTTGAGCTGAGAATGCGCAAGCGACCACAGCTGAGTAAAGGGACTACTTCCTCCATCCCAAGGCTTGGGGAAGCCACTCCGGGAACACTGCGGGAGGGCTGCTGTCTCATGGCTTCTTTTTCTTCCCATAGGTTTGCCTTCCAATGATACTGACTCGCTCCAAGAAAAGGAGGGAAAGTCCAAAATATTGGTGAGCTGGGGTTACTTCCCCCCCCCCCCCCCCGCGCCCCCCGCCCCTGACATGCTGGCTTGTTTCCAGAGAACAGGCATGCTCTATATTCTCTTTCTTGGGAAGAGAAAAAGCCATTAACATTCAGGCAGGTTCATGCCTGTGTCAGGTGCTGTGTTAGTAACTTTATTATAATGATTCCTGCATTTGGGTTTTATTTTCCTTGTTGAAAAATATACCCAAGATTAGTAGTTAGAGTCCAGGAAACTTTGAAAGACAAGGGATATTTTTTAAAAACTGAGATTATTAGAGAATTTAAATGTACTATTAAATTTCACTTCACAGCCACACTATCTAACAATATTTCTTTTGCACTGGACACTTTTTACTTTTTTACTATTGATATTTTTGAACATATATAGAAGTAGAAAGCATAGTAATAATAGGGCCTTAGGTACCATCATCCAGTTTGAAAAGTCATTTACAATGGCCAATCTTGTTTAATTTCTACCCTTCTCATACCCCTCACTGGGTTATTTTAGACAAGTCTGAGATATTATAACATTTTCTCCATAATTATTAAAAAACATTGGTAAGAGGGCCCTGGCCGGGTGGCTCAGTCGATTGGAGCATCATCCTGTGCACCAAAAGGTTGCGGGTTTGATCCCCAGTCAGGGCACATACCTAGGCTGTGGTTTTGATTCCTTGGTTAGGGCACGTATGGGAGGCAACTGTTCGATGTTTCTCTCTCACATTGATTTTACCTCTTTCTCCTCCTCTCTCTCCAAAATCAATCACCATATCCTTGGGTGAGGATTAAAAACAACAACAACAAAAACACAGTGGTAAGAGGGCAGTGGTGGTAGTAATTTTATTTATTCCAGAGAGAGAAAGTGTGGCTTAGAGGGGTTTCTGATTTGTGCATGGCTACACTCACATCTAGTTGATGGTAGAGCCAGGATTTGAACTTAGTTTTCTCTGACTCTCAAGCTCCTGCATCTTCCAATGCGTTGTATTGCCTTTGGGACTCTTTCTGCTGCATAAATCCCTATCTAAAAACATGCGGGCACTATTTTCCAGTCCTAGGGAATGAACCTGTATTATCTGATGAATGACTCATAGAATCCTCTCTTAAATACAGTGTTTCACCCCCACTCTGCCATCTTTGTCCATGTTCTCTTCTTTACCAGAAATCTGATGTATTCTTTCATGTGAATGGGGTATGTAAGACTCTGCAAACCAAAGTAATAGGTTTATAAATAGACCACCCTCATCCTCAAGGAGCCCACAAGTTCTTCGGAAAAGTAATGTATAAAAACAAGAAATGATGGCAATAATAGCAATTTTTACTGTAACGGTTGACATGGTTACATAATGGTGCAGTAAAAGCCCTGACAAAGTGCTGGCCTGAGCTTCCACAGACATGCTCAGCCGCTCACCGTTTCCTGACAGTCAGGCTCCCAGGACATACGCGGGGGAGCCCTTTTGGGGTGGGGGCGTGAGGAGCTTCGCAGATGCTCTCCCCAGTGAAACAACCGGAGTGATTTTTTTAAAAGACCCATTAAACCCAACCATTTCAAGTCACTGGAAATTGTCCTAAGGATGTGTAGCAAGCGGAGAAACATTTATTCCAGAAAATCTAGTAAGGCTCAGTGAGAACAGGAAGTCTGTGGCATTAGTTCCACAACCTGCTCCGCCTTCCCCCGCTTCAGCTCAGCGTCATGAAACCTCTACTCCACGTGGGTACAGCCAAGAAGATGGGGCCCTTTCTCCTCCCAGCTCCCAGTCTAGGACTATGCTTTTTCCCTGGGAGGGGCTGGCCACCAGCAATTTTCATTCCCCCTAGATCAGTGTTGGCAGGCAAGCCGGGCGAGAGAGGTCTGGAGTTTTCTTTCTCCACTGCTGCTCTTGCCTCTGTTGGTGGGATAGAGGCTCTGTCCCATGATAGGAGGTCAAGAATCAGTAGGGACCTGCCTGTCTTCTCCCCAGTGTGCTCGGAGGGCAGAGAGTCTGTGCTAAGACACGCAAGCTGAGAAGAAAGGAGCTTCCATGCTCCCTGCCCCCATTTTCCTGCTGTTAGAGCTGGAGTGTCACTGAGAGAACTGGCTGCTGATGCTGCTTCCTGATCTAAGCACTGGTGCAGAGACCGTGCCCAGGGGAGAGGCAGGCTGGAAGAACAGAGACCAATATAGCTCTCCCTAAGGGCACTGGCTTTATTTGGAAGAGAGCATAGGGAAGTGGAAACCTAAGGGTGCTCTTGAAAACAATGGAGATTTTGGTGGTGAGCAGTTAAGAGGCACTTGGCAGGTCCACGATAGCAACAAGCAAAATGGCAGATCAGCTAAAGGTTTAATGGAGAGAACCAGGGAAAGACAGAGCTGACAAGAGCCCTGCTGGAGTCTCACATACTGGCTTTAAAAACTACCCCGTAAAAGGGCCTGACTTTAGTGGAGCAGAGAGAGAAGCCGTTTATTCCCTAAGACATTATCGAAAACAGTAATGCAATCAGCTAGTGATTACTGGAGGGTGGGTTTGATACCAGTATAGGCAGGCCAGCCAGAACCTTACCAGAGAGATCAGGGAGAGAGACAAAGAGACCCCTGATAAAAGGACTGCCATTTCTAGGAGGGGATATAAGCATGCAAACTGGGTTTTGGCCACTTGGTGCCCTTGTGTATGACTCCACGATTTGTGATGAAGGAAACAGGTTTTTATTAACAGGGTTCCAAACTTGGGGGGGCGGTGCTGCGAGTACTCTTGTTCTGAGCCCTCTTCTCCCACAAGACCCAGAACTTCTTTTGCTCCCCAAAAGACAAGCCAAAACCAAGCCCAGCAAGTTCCCCATTTCCTTGTCTGCCCTTAAGTGGGTCACACAAGCAGATCTCCATCCTCTCTGGAATGTGCACTTGCAGGTTTCAGAGTCGCCATTTTCGCACAGAGCTCTCTCCTTCAGGATCTGGGGTGCACAGTTCTCAGCCTCCACGTAGCAATCCCAGAACCGTGTGCCGTGCTACACTGGATCTCAGTGTCCAAGATGCTGGAGCCCAGGGAGGCACGTGTCCCTGCAAGGGACCCTGCCTCCGGGAGTGAGCGTCCATCCTCCAGGGTCTAAGCCCCTGGTGGGCCTGGCATCTCCTGGTCCCACAAGTGCTCCCGTCCATGTGGGAGTGAGACCAGAGGCCCAGAATGTCCAAATGCCAAAAGCCCAGAGGGAGAGAGCTTGCACTAAGTTCCAAAGTCCCACACCAAGAGCCCCTGTACCAAGAGAGTGATGTCCCTGTACCAAGCGTGTAAGGGAGAGTGAGTGTGAGTGTAAGGGAGGGAGAGCGTTTCCAGGGGTGTCCAAGGTGTCCAATCCACGGCCCACAAGAGAGCCCTTCTCTTCCTGGTCACATCCTGGTCACACGCAGCCCAGGATGGCTCTGAATGCAGCCCAACATAAAATTGTAAATTTATTTAAAAACTTTTTTTTAAAATTTTTGCTCATCAGTTTTTGTTAGTGTTTGTGTATTTAACGTGTGGCCCAAGACAACTCTTCTTCCATTGTGGCCCAGAGGCACCAAAAAGTTGGACACCCCATATGGTATGTCATTAAGTCCTGCTTCCTTTAAAAATACCCCCAAACAAATAGCTCTGCCTCACTCTGCCAAGCCAGGCCTGTGTCAGAACATGCCATTCAAAAGTCCTGTGCTTAGGAAACACAGAAGTCTGCAGCTCAGCATTCCCCATCACAGCTGAGCTCCAAGCATCTCTCACGAGTCTGTATGCACTGCCTTGAGTCCTTCTTGCGCTGTCTGTCCGTTTCTCACTCCTGGAGCTGCCTTTATTTCAGCCGTCAGCTCATCAGTGTGTCTGTGTTCTTGGCCAGGCAGGTCCCCTGCGGCACTGCCAGCTCTGTCGCTGTCTTCTATGCAGGAAGGGCGCTGAGGATGTTTCCAACAGGCCTCCAGACCTCTGGCCCTCCTGACAGACCCACAGACTGGCCTTGTGTTCCTCAGAGTGCTCCAATTTAAAGGCTTGGCTCAGAACTTCCTGCATGGCCGAACTTCTGGCTCCTCCTATGGTGCATTAGTGTCTACCATTTGTGTCAGCTCCCGGTGTCTTTGACCCTCTTTTGGCTGCCATCTTTATTTTTTTTTTAAGATGTTATGTATTTATTTGTAGAGAGGAGAAGGGAGGGAGGGGGGAGAGAAACATCAGTGTGTGGTTGCCTGTCTTGCGCCTCCTACTGGGGACCTGGCCCTCAACCCAGTCATGTGCCCTGACTGGGCATCTAACCTGCGACCCTTTGGTTCGCAGGCTGGCACTCAGTCCACTGAGCCACACCAGCCAGGGCTCGGCTGCCGTCCTTAGTCAGCGCACATGCCTGGGTTGAGTTTCCCAGCCACGCACAGGCATCCAGGGTGGACATCCACAGCTGGCAGCTCACGCAGGTGCTGATGTCATGAATCACTCTGCCAGCACTAGTTTTCACTGTCACTGTTCACAATTTGCCCCAGGCAGCACCCTGCTTCTGCAGCCCCTCCCTTAGGAAGGCACGTGCTGTTAACCTGCCTTTGTTATGCAATATTCCTCAAACCTGTCCTTTCCACTCTGGGCATTCTTCCCCTCCCCCTCCCTGATTTGAGTGGATGGTGGGGTTCCCCTACTTTCAGGGAGCCTCTGCTCTGACCTGCCCTGCTACAGGGAGGGTCAGAGTGACTGTGTGTGTCTAAGGCTTCACCTACTGATAAGCCACATCCTCAGGGACAATAGCCTTTACTGAACTAGTCCAACAAATCAGCAAACATGAACAAGTGACCACAGCGACAGCTTGGGGAGGGAGCAGGGTTGGTATACAGAGTTGTACAATATTTTACCTAAAATGTCCATTATTCAACAAAAAATTACATAGATAGGGAGAGAGGGAGGGAAAGAAAGAAAGAATACATGAATATGGGGATGAGAGAAAGTCTAAATAACTTTTCCTGGTATGTAAAATGAAACAACTTTTCAATTCTGTGTTAAATTGTAATCTCACTGGATTGTAAATTTATCTTCCCTTTACAGGTTACGAGTTTTTTGTGGGATGATACACTGTGGACACAGATTTCCTCTTAAATGGGAGTTTTCCAGCCCATCCTGAACTCTTCCCCCTTTTTTTTTTTTAAGAGAAAAGGGAAGGGAGGGGAAAAAAGAGGGAGAGGAACAGCGATGTGAGAGAGAAACACCGCCCAACCACCTGAGCCACACTGGTCAGGGCTGAACTCTTCCATCTTAAAATTCCTCCCTAATGAACCCTCAAGGTTACTTTCTTGAGCACTGTTTCATGTTTCAAATTGATTCACAGATTATTTCTCCAGTGAAATCATAAGTATCCAGGGGCCAGTGAGGCAGGAGACAGCATAGGAAGAATTCTGAGACTGCACTGATGTTGCTGGCCAGGGTCTAGCATCCTGGTTGCCAGGAAACGCCTTTTATCACTTAGGAAGAATGAATAGTAAACCAAGGCAGGGAGGAGGAGGGAGACATGGCTCACCTGCTAACTCAGCAGCCCTGAGCCTGGTCCGATAGCATTGCCAGGTGTCCCAGCATCCCAAGAAACACTATGTTAGCAAGGAGGGAAGTCCTTGAAATTCTATGTAGCATTTCCACTATCTGGGAAAGAAAACCTGAAACTGTGCTTTCACCCCAAGGCCTGAGAGGGTCCACGGTGCCCAAAGAAGTGGCCCATAAATAATTTTGGTAACTGTCCCAACTTTAATTAACTGCCTCCTGTCAGGTATCTGTTTTACAACAAGGTGAACAAACAGAGTCTGGATCAAGATAAGGATTCAGGCTCACAGACCCCCCCCACATACCTAAGTCTGGGTAGTCACATCCCCCTGGCACCACACTTACCCATTAATCAATATGTAACATTCCCATCGGGCCACCTATGTAAGTCCTCAGAACAAAGGACTCGCTCTCTTAGTGCTCTGGGTGCCCTTGGCGCTCTGGCCACCTGGCTTCAGGCCTCCTGGGGGCTTGGCCAGCCCGGCCTTCAGCTGTCCTTCCTTTTGCCGCCCTGCTTTGCCCCAACCTCTGCCTTTCGCTGCCCCTCCCCCGCAACTTTAGCTGGGCCCATTCTTTTCCATGGGAACACATCGCTACTAAACTCTGCACGCTAGTAGATGTGCTGATGTGTAATTCTTTACACGTGTCAGCAAGAAGAACCAGGTCTCTCCCTTCAACACCAGGAATGTGCTGTCTGCGCCAGTTACGCCCCCCTCAGGTTTTAATGCAAAGCTGTAGTAATGGCCGTAAGAACTTGATATGGAGCACTGTGCACTCTGCAAAGAATTAGACCAACTTCCTTCATATGCAGACTCGTTATGGTCCCTAGATATATTCCAAACACTGGGGAAATTGCCGGTGACTTGCTGTTCGTTAACCGATTGCTTGTTTATAGGTACCAGTTACATTCAAGGATGTTGCTGTGGTCTTCACAGAGGCAGAATGGAAGATGCTGAGCTCTGAGCAGAGGAGTCTATACAAAGAAGTGATGCTGGAGAATTACAGGAATCTGCTCTCATTGGGTGAGGCTGTGTTCTTTCCTTCATTAATTTTTTGACCACCTACCTACTAGATGCCAGAAAATGTTCTAGCTACTTAGAACAAATTAGTAAATGAAACAGTAACCCCAGCCAATGGAGGCTTATTTTTTCCAGTGTATGGAAACAGATAAACAAAAAGCTTCATATACAGGGATATTGTGATATGGTATTTTAGAAGGTGATAAGCACTGCCTAGTAAAAAATAATAATAAAATGAAGCTTTAGCTGGGTGACTCAGTTGGTTGGAGAGTCATCCCGTACACCAAAAAGGATGCAGGTTTGACCCCTCTGGAACGGGTGCATATGGGAGGCAACTGACCGATGTTTCTCTCTCACATTGATGTTTCTCTTCCCCCCTTCCTCTCTCTCTAAAATCAATAAACATATCCTTGGGTGTGGATTAAACAAATAATAATAAAAATAAAATGAAGCCGGATAAAGGAGTATCGAGTGAGACAGGGCGGCTTGCTGAATTTTGAAATCAGATATTTGAAATCAATGAGGAGGTAACATGGACCAAAGACATAATGTGGTGAGGGAGTTAGAACTCTGGATACCTAGGGTAAGAGCACTTCATGTGGAGACTTGTTGTTGCTAAGACCTTAAGGAAGGGATGTGCCTGCTGGGTGTAGGAATTGCGAGGAGGCCAGGGAGACCAGAAGCACAGTTCGCAAGGGGGAGAGTAATGAGAAATGTGTTCTGTGACAGAAGTTAAAATTTAAATGTCAGAGTGTACGGCTTTGGAGTTTCATAAGCCAGATATTTTTTTCTTTTATTTAAAAGCATGCATTGATTATTTAATTCTAGGTTGATACTTTTGATTGCAGCATTGCTCTGATTCAGAGGTTGGCCACTTTTTCTGTAAAGGGCCAGATGGTAACTATTTTAGGTTTTGTGGGCAATACAGTCTCAACTGCTTTCCACTCTGCCCTTGCAGTGCTAGAGTAGCCACAGGTGATGTGTAAATGAATGAGCGTGACTGTGTGTCAAGAAGACTTTTGAAGTTCATATGATTTTTATGTGTAGTGAACTATTATTCTATTGACTTGTTTCGCTTTAAATGTTTAAATGGTCTTTAAACATTTAAAAATCATTCTTAGTTTGTAGACGGTACCAAAATAGAGGGCAGGACTAGCTCATAGGCCATAGGCTGTAGTTTTCCTACACCCTTGTTCTAGATCAGTGCTGTGCAGCAGAAATAGAATGTGAGCCGCATGAGTAATTTAAAATTTCCCAGTAACCACATTTTAAAAAGGAGACATGAATGGGTGAAATTAATAATCTTTTTTAACCCAATATATCAGAATATTATTTCAACATGTAATCAATGTCAAAATTAATTAGACATCTCATTTTTGTACTGAGGGTTCCAAATCTTGTGTGTATTTTATGCTAAGAGCACATTTAAATTCAGACTAGCCACATTTCAAATGCTTGATAAACATGTACATATGGTTAGGGCTACCACGTTACATAATGCAGTTCTGGATACTTCCATATTTCTAGATAAAACACGTAAAACATTTTTGGAGGCACAATCTAGTTTCAGGCAGGAGTTTCTTCAGGAGTATCCTTCAAAGGGTGTGGCTGTTTCCTTGATATCAGTTAATCCAATTTTTTTTGTTCCATTGTCATCTTCTTTGATATGTTTTGATCTGATTCCATCCAGTTTGTGCTCCATCTAATTAAGTGTGGATTCATCCATTTCGATCTGGTTCTGTCTGTTTTGATTTGGCCTTAGCTAGTCAACCTAACTAGATTTTGTTTTTATTTTTATGTTCCTCTGGTCATATTATTCTCTTTCTCTATGTTAATACATTGACTGGGTTAAAAAAAAAATGTTAAAACGATCTGGTTCAAATTAGCCTTGACATGGAAAGGCTGGATTTTCTGAAATTGTTTTCTTCGTCTTGCTCGACACCACAATATTCTGCAGTTCCCCTGACTCCTAAGTCTTTCTTTTAAGCTTTTCTCTCTCTTTCCTTTGGACTGATATTCACATGATCTTTTTTTCTGGATTGATATTAAATAATTTGTGAACCTTAACAATTTTGCTCGTCACATATTACGATGAACCCACTTTCTCTGTCACTGTCTCACCTGTGCTTTTCTGTTTGGTTGCAGGAGCGCACAAGTTTATTCTCAAACTTGTCAAAAATTGAGATCATACTATTTTCCCTCCTGAACCTTTCTCTTTCTCTTTAATTCTTCCTATATTCATGTTACAATGTCTCTTCTTCAAGTGTACGGTTAGAAATAAATGGGCCAATTTCCCCTGAAATAATCCTTGAAGCTTTCATAGGAGATACTTTAGTTAATATAGACTAGGTAATGCTGTGATAACAGGCAACCCCAAACTTCGGCAAATGTTCATTTCTTACTTACAGTAGTGCCTCTTGTTTACAGGTCAGGTGGGGTTCAGCTCTGTTGATGGTGGAATCAACAAAAGGGCCAGCCTCTGTCTGGGTTATGGGATTCTTAAAGAAGAGGGGAAAAGAGCAGTGAGGAACTACACCGTGGCTCTTAAAATGTGTTTGAAGGTGGCGCTAACTTTTCACCGAATCTCCACTGGCCAAAGCAAATCCTGTAGCTAAGTCTGATGTCATTCTGATGGATTGGTTTGGGCACGAGGTGTCGGATTCCTGAATTCATGGACCACATCTTTTTTGTCCATGACAGAATCCACAATACTTAGTAGAGAACTGAGCACTTAGAAATTTCTAATAAGTATTTGTTTGCAGTTAGGCAACGTGAAATTCAGATTGATTTCAGATACAGTCTCTTTAACTGTTTCATATGCTGTCTCCTATGTGTGGAAGCCCTCCAGATCAAATGACTTTTATGTGAATCAGGTTTTCTCTTTTTTTAATAAAAGTCCAGAAGGAGATTTCCACATAGGTCATAGAGACTGTTACCTCCAAGCTCAAGAGAGTTGTGAACAGTATATCAGTGCAGTGATTTCATGACTTCAGTGATTCGCTAGAAAGAAATGGCTGATGGTATTGAAGCTGCTGACAAAGCAGGACAAACGCTTATTCGAAGGACTCCTAGTGCGAATGACTGTAGAAGATGTTCCTGGTACCGTTTTACTGGGTTGCAATAGAAAATGGAATGTGTAGAAATGGATCGTAAAGGAGTTACTGGTAGCAAACAAATTATGTTACACATATATTATCAATAACAGGTGTGGCAGGAAGACATTCTTAGTCTTATGATAAGATAGAACCGCCCAGCAACCCCACTCAGGGCTTCTCTAATGAACACTCTTTCTCCAGCAGAATCAAAGCCAGGAACAGACCCCTGTTCCTCGCACCTTCTGGCCTTCTCCTGTCAGCCACGCCTCAGCCAGCATGTGCAGCCAGTCTTCTCATATTTATGTGACTTCCCTCTGGGGCGTCCGGGCCCAGGGCATCAGGAGCCAAAGTTTTCTTCTCAAAGCTGCTGGAGTGAAAACACAGAAGGCCAAGAGAGAGAAGATGGCTTCAGACCCTTGTTTGTGAGGACAGAGGAGAGAAAAACATCAGGTGCATTCCCCAGTCCACCCCAACAACAGCCTGTGAGTCCTGGAGAAGGCAACACAGTGGTAGAAATAGAGCCCAGCTCATCCCAAAGAGTAGGCCCTGTGCAAACAGACAAAAGAATGAAGGAAACAGAAACCCCAGGATCTGGAGCAGCCAGTTATAGTGAGCATGAACTAGGCGGTAGCCTGGAGTCAAACTTTATTACAAATCAGGTAATCCTCTCGGGAGAGAAGCCCTATATTTGCAGGGAGTGTGGAAGAGGCTTTAAAGATAAGTCAAACCTCATCAGACACCATCGGACACACTCAATGGAGAAGCCTTATGTGTGCAGTGAGTGTGGCCGAGGCTTTAGCCTGATGGCAATCCTCACTAATCACCAGAGGACGCACTCAGGAGAGAAGCCGTACGTGTGCAAGGAGTGTGGACGAGGCTTTAGCCAGAAGTCTAACCTAAACAGACACTCAAGAACACATTCAGAAGAAAAGCCTTATTTGTGCAGGGAGTGCGGGCAGAGCTTTAGAAATAATTCAATCCTCATTAGACATCAGCGGACTCACTCTGGGGAGAAGCCCTATGTTTGTCAGGAGTGTGGGCATGGCTTTGGTGAAAAGTCATACTTTATCAGACACCAGAGGACACACTCAGGGGAGAAGCCCTATGTGTGCCTGGAGTGTGGACGAGGATTTGGTGATCAGTCAACCCTCAGAAAACACCAGAGGATTCACTCAGGGGAGAAGCCCTATATTTGTCAGGAGTGTGGGCAGGGCTTCAGTGAGAAGTCATCTGTTATCAGACACCAGAGGACACACTCAGGGGAGAAACCCTACGTGTGCCTGGAGTGTGGACGAGGATTTGGTGATAGGTCAACCCTCAGAAAACACCAGAGGACACACTCAGGTGAGAAGCCCTATGTTTGTCAAGAGTGTGGGCATGGCTTCAGCGACAAGTCATCCTTCATCAGACACCAGAGAACACACTCAGGGGAGAAACCCTATGTGTGCCTGGAGTGTGGACGAGGATTTGGTGATAAGTCAACCCTCAGAAAACACCAGAAGATACACTCAGGGGAGAAGCCTTACATGTGTGATGAGTGTGGCCGAGGCTTTAGCCGGAAGTCATTTCTCCTTATTCACCAGGGGACACACTCAGGGCAGAAGCATATTTGCAAGGAGTGTGGGCGAAGCTTTAGCTACAAGTCAAATCTCATGAGACACCAGAGGACACATTCAGGCATGAAGCCTTATATGTGCAGTGACTGTGGGCGAGGCTTTTTCGATAAGTCGACCCTCATCATACATGAAAGGACGCACTCAGGGGAGAAGCCTTATGTGTGTGGTGAGTGTGGACGAGGTTTCAGCCGGAAATCACTCCTCCTCATTCACCAGAGGACACACTCAAGGAGAAGCATTATGCTTCCAGGGAGTATGGGCGAAGCTGTAGCTACAAGTCAAATGTCATCAGAACCCAGAGGACACACTGAGAGAAGAAGCCTTGTGTATGCAGAGATCATGGGCGAGACTTCAGCAATCACCACAGAGACACCTGGGGAATAGTCCTGTGTGTGTGGAGTAAGTGAACCTTCAGAGATTTGTTGACCCGCATCAGGCTGCGAGGACACGTTCAGCAGAGGAGGCTTACGCGTGCAGAGTATGGGTAACTATGGCTGTGAGTCAACCCTTATTGCACAAGGAGGACACGCTTTGGTGGGACGTGTTGTGTGTGCAGTGACTGTGGGTGAGATGGTAGCAACAAGTCAACATTTCCCGAACATCCAATGGCTGTTGGGCAGGCACAAGATGGCACTCACAGGGAGGAGCTGTGTGTCTGCAGGGGTTGTAGGCAAGGCTCTTGGGATCAGCCAGCCTTCTTCTCATGCCACAGGGAGATCCTTATGTGGGGGTGAAATGGGATTATATCTAGGTCTGGGGATGCTGTGGAGCTCTGCCCAGATAACTGTATCAGGACCAACACACCTGCAACTCCTGATAACGGCTACTGATGGCTGCAGAGCCTAATTCTTCTCTAGAATCAGCTCTCAGCCCCAGGGAACTGCACCTTCCTAAGGACTCAGTCCTGACCAATGACTGATAGATACGGGGAGGCAGAACCACCCTCCTTGACTCAGTTGGGTCCAAAGGGTCATCCTGGCTCCAGAGATGCTCATAAAATCTCAGTTGGAAACAAATTGCAGGAGAGCTGCTTCCTCTGCCCAGTCATCCCTTATTCACCAAAAAAACCATTCAATTCTCCATTTCATTGTCTCTCCAGGGACTCCACTGTAAGGCATGTTAAGTGCACAAGGAGTGTAGACATGGTTATGACCATAAGTTACTCTTCACAAACCCCAGCATGTATTTGTACATAGAAGCTCTATGTGTGTGGGCAGAATGAGCACTGACTTAGGAAAAGCACACCTCAGGAAATAGCAGAGAACAGCTGTATTGGGAGAAGCTTTACACAGATGGGGGGAAATCTGTGAGATGCTTTAGCAATCAGTTTTACCTCATTTTTCACCAGAGGACACTCAGGGAGAAGACCAGTGTGGGCAGGGTTTATGGGTGGGACTTTATCCTGATGTACCTTCTCTGTAGACTAAGAAGACATTCTTGCCACCACAAACCTCTACCTCACTCACCTTTGAGGGGGTTTCCGTAGTCTTGACCCCCACTGCAATCTTTTGTATGAGAGTGAAGATGGCACTAGCAACTAACTAGACATGTTTTCTTCTACTTCTTGTAATCAGATGGAATAAATAAGCAAAAGGTTTTAAGTAACCTAAGAATGACCAACTTGTTTTATTTTCATACACCAATTCTTTCCCATGTTTTCTTGTCCTTTTGTTCTAGTAAAATCTTTAATAGGCTTAAGCTGTGAACTTTAGTCTCTCATACACCTGGAAAAGAATTCATATTCATAGCCCAGATTTCCTGCACGAATCTAATCCTTGAGAAAAAATAAGTCCGAAATAAATTTAATAGGTCTGTTGGAGAATCTGAGCCTTTGCTTGGGGAAAATGATCGAGATTCCAGAGACATGCCAGCTGAGGGGAGGAACTTTCCAGGTCACCAGGCCAGGATCGCCTCTTCTTCTGATTACTCTCTTTGGCTTCTGTGAAGGTCCCTTCCCTGGGTTTTCTTCCTTCTAATCTCTACTCAGGTCTCAGCTTAATCCTTTTCACCCCGATCAAAGCATCACTGTTACTTAATGACCTGTTCATGCCCTGCATTTTCAGGGACCCTTTAAGCACACTCACTCTGCTGCCCTCCACATTCGAAGCTCAGGCCCTTTAACCATGCCCTGTTCTCCAGTCATGAATCAGTGCTTTGGGCCTGTTAACTACTCAGAGGTCTGAAGACCCCCTAAATATTGCTCCAATGCCATGTCCCCTCAGCCCTCCAATGCAAAGGTCCTGCTAATGACACCCCACATCATCCTTCTACGAACTGGTCCAAGACATACACCAGCCATTGGACTTCAGCTCAAGGACCTGGCCCTTTGACCACACCCTTTCCTAGTCCCACTCCCTCAGAGCCCAGATTACCCAATTTGACAACTCCGCAGTCCCTCGCTCTGGTTTCTATGTCCTGGGCCAATCGCTATTCCCTGGAGAGAGGGTCTGCCTAGACTCTAACAAGTTTGTTTGTTCAGTTGGAGTTTGCCAGGCCCACAGATTTGACGTCAGTCTTTGGAAGTCAGAAAAATCACAGGGTGGTTTTAACACTGCCTCAAAGAAGGGGGCAGTATAGAGAGCCTGAAGGAGTCCCTGGTTCCAAGGCCTCTCCTCCCTCAGCCATGCACTCAGCTCTCCAGTGAGTCCTGGGTCAGCTGGGGTGAGGAATAGGTGTCAGCACCAGAACATGGGCCCCCACCCTTTGACGCAGTTCCCCTCATGGTCCTTTGCCAGAACTACTCCTGTAACATCAACACTTTGCTTCTGGTCAGAGCTGGAAGACATGGAGGGAAAAGTGTATAGGGGTATGTAATCTTTTATGAGGGACTCCGGCCTGCGAAGTCCCCTGGTTCGCCGCAGATGGAAGAACGACTTGTTCCAGACACCAGTTGCCTGTCAAGGAAAGGGAAAGGTGATTCTCTGTAAAGGAGAATGCCCCGAGCCCCTGTACTCAATGCTTTTATTGAGAGGGTTACAGGCGGGGGATAGGTAGCAGGAATGTATAGGTAATCTAATTACATCAGTAATTTAAGCTTACAGAGGGTAGGTATTGTTTAAAGAAGACAATGGCAGGAACACTCCGGGCTGCTTGTGTCCGAGTTGAGCAAACATTATGGCGCCAGGTGGGATTTGGGTCGGGGTCCAGGAATTTTGTAAATTTCCTTCCCAGCCTTCAGCTGGTTATCTGGTAGAAGATTAACAGAGCTTGAGGGAGAAACAAAGCATGCTGCAAGGAGTGTGATTTACTTCTGGGTCTGATTTCCCCTGGGAGCCCTCAGAGTTGTCATTGGGTCTTGCCTGTCTTCCGCGTTACCAGTGTTCCAGCCAAGGCTTACTGGTCGTCTCCCAGGCCCTAGCTTACGTGGGACTACAGTTCCCGATACCACTCAAAGCAGCCCCCTACAATCTCTAGGGTTTGAAGAGTAATGTGATAGGCCCTTTGCATTCCAGAGCCCAAGGCCCTTCCCCATGTCCTGCTATTGTGGGAGAAAAATGCCAAAAAGAAAACCAGCACCTTCCTTAAAAAAAAAAAATATACCCTATTTGTTAATTTTATTCTAGATGCCATTTTGGAGAATAGCCAGGTATACAGCTGCCCTTTAATTAAAGAGAATTAACTGGGATAGGTTGGAACATGGCAGTCTAGGGTTCTGAAAAAAAAGAGCCTTGGCTGGTATGGCTCAGCGGATTGAGCACTGGCCTGCGAACCAGAGGGTTGCTGGTTGATTCCCTGTCGGGGCACATGCCTGGGTTATGGGCTGGGTCCTTGATAGGGGGTGTACAAGAGGCAAACCACACGTGGATCGTGGATGTTTCACTCTCTTTCTCCCTCCTTTCCCCTTGCTCTGAAAATAAACAAATAAAATGTTAAAAAAAAAGAAACAAGATTCCTAGAGTTCCATCCACCAATGTTCTGAAAAGGATAAGAAAATTTCTTCTCTGAGGGTTGAGGCAGCAGCTGAGGACTGGAAAATCTCACGAAGCCAGGTTACACTTAGGGTCTGTTTTGGGCCTCATCTGCTGCTGTTGGACCACAGGGACGGGTCCCACCCTACGCAGCTCACCGGTGCCAAGGCAAGGTTGGCTCTGCAGGACCCTCGTTGTTGCTGGTCTTTGGTTGGTTCCCCTTTTCCCGACCTTTCACATCCCCTGGGAATTTTAATGCTATTTATAATAGTGTTTGCCTGAGCTGCCTCTTTGCAGTGTCTGTCCTAACAACTAAAAGCAGGGCCTGAACCTTTCCCTATGGCTAGGAAGCACCGCCATGAACAGAGGCTTACTTGTCTTTTGGGAGAGGGGCCCAACCTGTAAAAATCTTAGTGTAAATAAATTGCAATATTGGAAGTGTGTCTGATTAATAAAATTGCGAAAACACTTCAGATTTTCTGCCAACACATATTAGCACAGGAATTACCTGGGGGTTGAAAATCCGGAAGAGAGAATGCAGGGAAACTGGGAAAAATTAAAAGAAAGATAAGGCGTGATGAACAGCATTGAGACCAGGATAAATCTGGGAGGTCAGAGTGTGGGCATTGCCCAGACAGAATTTACAGGACAACTCTGGAGATAGTAATGTGGATTGAAAGGGAAGACAGATGTGTCTGTCATAGGGTTTGTTTTCCAAGAGCTGGTGATTGCCTGGATGTACAAGATAGGGGAGAATTTAAAAGGATTAGCACAAACACAGCTTTCCAACAGTAGAAACATTTGCTAAAGATAAGTTCTCATCACTCCAAGAACCCAGGCAGAAAGCCAACATCATCTTATCTGTGTTTATCACAAGCTTCGTTCCTTCTCTGGGGGGGAGGTTGAACTGCGTATCCTCTTTCCCCATCCAGGCCCTGCATTGTGCTGACTTACGTGGTAGAATATGTTTTGTGTGTATGTGGAATGGTGCCACTTGTTAATATATTCTCCCGGCTACAAATTCACCTTTTGTTGCCTGATCTGTGAAAGTGGATCTGGGCCCTTTGAATACTTTTCCTTTGCCAGCTGGCATGAGGTTTATCAGTAATGGGCTCCGGAGCAACATTGCAGGAGGAAAAGGTCTTCCTTCCTGGTTCAGGTGGCTCTTTCACGGGGCTTCTGAAGAGTAAGTACCCTTCCCCCGCACTCCTTGACCAGCGCAGTTTCTCCATGCTAACTGCCTGCAGGGCACAGTGGCCTCCGCTGACCGGCCACCCCGTGTGTTCTTCAGCCCTCCACTCAGGCAGTGGTGGTTTAGTCAGGAGCCCAAATGGCACAAGCTGCTGCTTCTGCACCCTCTTTATCTCTACGGGCATACAATCTGGGGCCCCACTGACCTGGCT